TAGAATCCTGGGGTAATTACCCCCTTAGAATCCTTGGGTAATTACCCCCCCCTTGAATTTGTTTTTAAAAAAAGGTTGATTTCAAATTTGCATGAAAATAAGTTAAATGTGCAGATACTTCAGATATTTCAGATTTTAAGTCAACATATTCTAAATGATTCTAAATTCTAATGTAAAGTCAATGTCATTACAATTAGATGTTTTTTAATAGAAAAAAAGTGTATGGGCAATGAAGAATAAATTTTTACTTCTAAATAATGTCATTTCAATATTAGATTTATTTAAGATCTTAACATACTACAATGACGACAAGTAAATGTTAGAAATTAGAAATTAGCAAAGGCTATTTAAAACATTTAATGTAAAAAAGTTCCGAACTGTATTCAAACTTTGAATTATTTTGGTAAAATATTCTAAGTTTGAAATATCAAAGGTTTACACCACTCGGTGCAAAGATTTAGGGATTAGGATATTTGAGTTTGTGGAAAACACTCAGTTCCAAATCTAGAGAACATTCTGAGACTGAGCCTGGCAAAATTCTACCTGATTATCATATTTGATAACTGTAACCTGTTTATCTTCTTTAAAAGAACTTCTATAAAATCGAAAATGAAATAAGATTATGAATGTTGGTTAGAATGATCAATCATAAATTCAATAACTTCAGGAGAAAACTTAACATTATCTGCCCTTTTTCAATATAGATGATTAAAATTATATATGTATTTCGATGTTTTTTTTCAGAATATATAAATGATTATTATACCTTGTAATTATATCCCTAATTAAACAAGGTACTTAACAAATTTTCGTTGACGCTCCGTGCACACATGAAAAGAATTGATTGACTCATAACGTTAATTTTACAGTTGTTAAAAGTAAAAATTTTTAAAAAACAAAAGAAAAAAATGATTCGAATTGAACACAACCAAATCCGCATTCAACAACTGAAAATTTCCTTTTTTCAACGTCAAATCCTTGAAAAAAGCACTTTCATTTTGAATAAATTTTCTAAAGGGGGGACAAGCCCCCCCTACACCCCACCTCAGAAGATTACAAAATAATCTCCCCTATAGCAAAAGTGCTAGTTGCGCCTCTGGAAAACAAAGACAATATTTTTTCAAAGTTTTGCAGAGTAGCTTTTCTAAAGATAAACAAGTAACCTCTTTTTCCTCTTAGAGTAAAACTATTTTTATGTTGCTTAAAATAAATTCAGTTTTTAACAGATCTTTGTAGATAATGTATAAAAATGAATGACTATAATGAAGTGTATAAAACAAGGTGAAAGCTGAAAGGTATGTAATGAAGCCTTTATTAGATTGAGTTTGTAAATCCCATAAATGAGTGGAAAATGCAAATCAAACCCAATTAAAACCAATAATTTGATAAACATCATGATATTTTTCTAGGTAAAAAAATTCTTTGGGGGGGGGGGGTTTAAAAAATTCGGCGGATTAACAAAATTTACCCACCCCTACAAAATCCTGCATGGGAGGGATTTTAAACACATGGAATTCAGTGCGAGAATTTAGAAAAACATCACCTTTCAAAGTCACCTTTATGTGGATCCAGATGCAGGGAAGTTTACCTGTTAGTTATATAATTGCAGAAGGAAAAAATATTGTTGGTACAGTACCCCTTATACCCTTTTGGGGCCTAAATTTTGGAAATTTCTGAAATCTGGGTGTCTGGGAAATTTCCCAAATACCTGGGTATCTGAAAAATTTCTCAAATGCATGGGTATTTGGGAAATTCGCGAGATTCTCAAAATTCCTGTTGGAATCAGATGGTGCAATATAAATTTTAGAAATTTCCCTAATACCTGGGTATCTGGGAATTTTTCCAAATGGCTAGGTTTTTGGGAAATTCCCTAAATATCCAGTCATTTAAGGAATTTCAAAAATATACCACCCTTCCAATACGAATATGGGAAATTTACCAAATACCTCGATATCTGAGAAATTTCCCAAAATGTCTGTGTATTTGGAAAAATTTTTATATTCCCCAAATTCCTTTTGGAATCTGATGGTGGTGTATTTTAAAAATTTTAGAAATTTCCCAAATGCCTAGGTATCTGAGAAATTTCCCAAATGCCTGGGAATCTAAGAAATTTCCTAAATGCCTTTTTATTTGGGAAATTCCTCAGATTCTAAATATTCCTGTTGGAATTTGATGGTGGTGTATTAGAAATATTTTAGAAATTTCCCAAATACCTAGGTATCTGGGAAATTTACCAAATGTGTGGGTATCTGGGAATTTCTCCAAATGCCTTGATTTTTTGGGAAATTCCCCAAATATCCAGTTATTTGAGAAATTTACAAAATCTTAAAAATATACCACTCTCCAATTCCTGTATTTAGGAATTCGGAAAATTTCGAGAATTTCCAAAATGCCTGGGTATCTGGGAAATTTCCCAAACGCCTGGGTATCTGGGAAATTTGTCAAATTCCTATTTTCTTCAAAAGTATAATTGCAGTCGGGTCATGGGAATCCTGTAAAATGCCCGCCATATTATCTATACAATTATTCAAAAGAGTAGATAAAGATAACAGTTTGATATTTAATATACATTTCTGCTGCTTGATTCATTAGTTTTGATATAATGATGGGAGTATTAACAACTTTCTTCTTTCTGCTCGTCATCAATATTTCCCTGCAGGTTGTTTAATATATATAAAGAGACTGCTAGCACAATTATTTCTGTCTCAGAACTAATTAGACTTCATGAGCAACACAAAAACATGACAGGAGACCTAATGACTGATTGGTCAAACAAAATAGATATGACTTATTTAGACAATACAGTCCTAATTAGAAAGACCAAGAATTAATTAACGACTAATCAGACGGCTTTACAATCTAATTTTACAAATATAAATGACAAAACAATAATCACAAAATAACCCTGGTCCTGCCATTTCCAAAATGTGGTCTGCCTTTTTGGACATTTAAAATTATATATGTATAGTCACCTGTCAATTATTTCCGGGTCTTTCTGATTATGATTGTACGACAAAAATCTATGATTTAAAATGTACAAACATGAAGGTTTTATCAACATTTATTATCTAAAGCCCAATAATGAACACTAACTGGGTCGGTTTAAACTGCAAAATCGAGTCTAAGTGAAAGTCTTGGCTTGGGTAAAAATAGACCTTAAAGCTGGGTGTTACTTTCAGATTTAAACTCTTCAATCTCAGCTTAGGACTGATGAATTTGAAAATAATCCTCCAATCCTGGAACCTGATTCTAGTTCAGATCACTACTTTATCTACCCAAATATTCTTATTCAATCTAGATATAAATTAAAATTAGATGTGTTTTTGCAATACAATAGCGTAAATGCTAATTTATCAATTAAGGAAGCACTAATCTATTACAATTAGTATCAATATTATTCAGTCGTATTCTACTCACTTATAGGAGAAATCCTTCCAATTTTCTTCTCCGTCAAACGGAGCCGGCATGACCCGCATGAGAGTAGTCCCATGATTAAGAGTAGTTAGCGCTGAGTGTAATGCGCAATTCATCCCAGACAAGATAAAAGAAAGGAAAAAAAATAGTGAAACTTCATCTTTAGCTTTTCTCTGCTATACATTAGCTCAGCTAAAAAAAGGAATATATAGAAACTCAAAAATTAGGGATGAGGTTCATGCTGATACAGCTTTTTTACTTATGCTGCTGAACAAAATCGAACTGGAACTTATCCTGCTCTTAAGAATGGATTGCTTTGGAAGATCGTATCCGGAGTTGTGTATAAAAAGGATATTTGAACTCCTCATATGCATAATGTGGTGCAAAACAAAATGAGTTCATAAATTCTACACAAGTCGGAAATGTCTATAAATCAAGGAACAAATAGGTTTTACTTCAGCAATAAAAAAATTCCTCAGTACAACTCTCCCTAACCAACTTAAAACTTCCAACTTCTCCAAATTATTCATATCTTGATGTTAAAAGAATTAGTTAAAGGCATCCAAGAAATAAAGAAGATTTTTTTATCTTCAAAAAAATGCATGCTGGCAGGCCTAGATTAGAGAAGTAGCTTAGAATACAATTGCAGAAACCTTCATTGACCTAAATTCATTTTAATGAATCAGCATTCCTGATAACTGCAATAACAAAAGCAAAATATAAAACCATGGACATGTTTAGTCTACAAAATAAAGCACATATACACTACATTTTAAGGATAGAATGTAGGAACAGGGTGTCTCTAGAAAGATTTCAGAACCCAAAACATATTGGTGGTTTCAGAAAATGAAGTAAAACAATAACTGTGACAGGATGTGTGCAGACGTGTGAGCACCCTGTTTATTTGCTTTGACCATCATCTATTTAATTTTAAAATATAGTAAGAAACTAAAATAAAAAATGTTAAAAAATTATTATTTTTAATATCATAATATGTCGTTAAGGATGAACCTCCTTGTACTGGACCTTGCATTGACCAGAAATGTCCTAGTGTCTGTTATGGGCTTGATGAGGACATTTTATGTACTTGTGAACAGGTGAGAGTAGGGTTGGTACCCTTGATGATTTCTTTATTATCTTCTGCTGATGTTGCTGAAAAAAAGTTTAGATCAGAACAAATGTAAGAAAAAACAGCAAATACTATATACTGAACATTTCATTTGTAGCTTTGAACAAACGGCTTACTGAAAAGTTGGTAAAGTCTTTTTTAAACTGTTAATGAATAATTACAATATTTTTATCAAAGACAAATTGTTATTGTGCTATAGTAGATAAAATTCAAAGGTGTGCCCATAACTGAAAGTTAATTTGGATAATGGATTATTCACCAACCGAATTTAGAAGATGCTTTATAAACATGATTTAGGTAGGAAAAAATGACCCCAGCTGCAAGGATCCTACCGGTAGTGTTTGTACACTTGTAACCCCTCCTACTACTGTTGATGAAACTACTTGTCCAACAATTTGGTCAGAAAATACTGAAGCTGTAGCTTACACATACAAGCACTTGGTAAGTACTCTTAGCAAACACTTGCTCCCATAGTAGTTTTCTCCTTGCATAATTGTAAATTTTAGGCTGTGAATGATGGTGTAAATGTATGCACCCTGTTTAAAGTTTGCAGGAGTTACGATGATGTCCCCCATCCTGGCAAAACAGTTGTGAAAGAGACTGTAGGAGAAAAGAAGTGCCGTAAGTACAATTTTTTCACTGATTACAACATGACCATTTATAAGGTTTTCAACCTTATTCATACATATTATATAAACTTACACTTGACAATTTCTCTTCCAAGTATTATAGGATTGTATAACATAACTTTTTTCAGAGCATTGTCCTACATTAACATTTATACCTGGACCCACTTCAATTCATTGGAGTTGTGGTAGAGAAGATCCTTACTATCATACGATGGGATCAGGAACAATCTGTCATCCTACACACACGTAAGTAGACTTGTCTTGGGTACTAGTTTTAATCAAATCTTTTTTTTTCTAAGAACTTAACACTCAATTTATTCTTTTCATTTATTTTCATTTTCTTATAGAATTTCTCATTCTGTTTCATAAAACTGTGTGGCCCGCCCTATTTTCTGATCAAGTAAGGTTTTTAGCTTTTAATCCAGAACATACTAATTCTAGTTTAGGCTTACACCCCACCATCATTTTAGACACTTTCACATTGAATTTTCATAAGTAAATATAAAAAGAATTTTTTGTGACCATTCTTTTCATGCAAAGGGTAAACTACAGGGCAGTCTAAAATATGTCATAAACAAATAAAATAATTTACATTTTTGAGCTCTGATCATTTATTGCAACTCCATATATCTTCCCTCTAAGTAGGGCTGGGCACATTCCAACTTTTTCTAGCTGTTTTGTAAAAGGTTAGTTCCAACTGTTAAAAAAGAAACATTTCAGGTAACAGTAAAGGTATGACTGAAACGTTTGTTTGGTTAAAGGTTTTTTCTGTTTTTTTTTTTTAATTGTTACCATTAGTTTAAATTTTCCTTAACAGTTTGTCAAATGTTAACCGTGCAAGCAGTCAATGGCTGTTTGTAGTATTAAAGTTATTCAACAGTTTGCCAAAACTCCAAAATTTCTATCAAAAAATCCTTAAAAGTTTATCAAATTGGATTTACAGCACAAGCCGTCACCAAATTGCAAAAAAAATCTTTAAAAGTTCCATCATACAAATAGGGGNAAAAATGCAAGTGTCATGCAATTTAGCAGTAAACAGAATGCAAGCTGCTATTAATTTTGAAACCCATCTGTTAAGTTCTCATTTTCAACCGATAATTTTTTTTCAAAAACGTGTAATTTGTTTTGTTGATGATTTAAAAATGAACAATTTTTGCTGCTCTTTAACTGGTAATTTTCAAAAACCTCCATTTTGTTAATGGAACTTTGCCTGACTCTACCTCTAAGGCCTTTATTTATGAAGATGGGCTCAATTGATCCCCCTCCCCCTGGATTTACATATTCAGACCTTTCATTTTAGAAATGGAACATTTTCGGCAATCTGTCCCATCTTCCCTAGCCTTTCTGTAGCTTACTCTTTAGTAATGGAAATTTTGTTGTAATACAAATCCATGTTCACTCTAATTATAGATGCTCAATTGGAACAGAAGTAACAAGTGATGCAACTTTGACATGTGTAACAAACCCCGAGGAAACTGTTGGACAATGGCAAGACAAAGACAATAATGTGGTTTTGCCAAATGTTGCAGACAAGGAATGTGGTTGTCCGACCTTGGCTATTGCTGCTGAGTCAGGCACCCAACTCTCCTGTACTAAACCAGTCACCCCAACTGCTGGGTTTTATGTACTGGATGCTTCTAATACCTGTCTCCTTACTTGTGATGGATATTATGTGATGTCTATGAGGTGTACTTTCCCTACAACTGCCAGTGGAACTCAGTGGGTGAAGGATGATGACACTATTATTGAAGCAGAGAAGGGGTGTATGTCTTGTTGGGAAGGTGGATGTGCGGATTACACCCCATCACCAGAGGTACCATACAATGGGGAACTTATCTGGACATGAATAAGGAAGAACCAACCATGAATGTTGTTTTCATTTAAAGCCACTATTTTCAGAATTATCTTTTGCTCCTCTAATTGGATTAAAATAATTCTTGTTAAAAACCTCCTGTAAAATAGAAAATCAAGAGCTTTAACTTCTTTGGCTTATAGAGAAAGAATACCAAAAAATATTATGAATTTGAAAATAAATATTTCGTTTTGTAAAGTGTTCATGTAAATATACAGCCAAAATAAATGTTAAAATACAAAAAAAATCATAATTCAAGAATAAAAGGTTTCGTATAAATTCTTTATTGAACTTTGATAAAAATGATATGATAATAAATGTAAACATAGATTTAAATTTATTTAGTATCAATAACATTGTATAGGGCTACAACTGTAAACCTTATTGGATCAAAAAAAGTTCAGAAAAGGTTTTTTTCCCCAATTGGAAAATACTCGACTTTTGAACCAAATAACAAACTGGGATTAAAAAAGTCAAGTTTAAATACATTTTTGTCACTTGATTTCGCCCAGTTGGCGAGTTGACTTCAAAAGTGGTTCAAAAGTTGGTATTAACACCCAGTAATTGCACAATTGACTAAAACTGGATGGCAAAAATGGAGTTAAACTCCCCCTTAACTGGAGAATATATTTTGCTAGGTATTTCTCTAAAACACATTTAATAATTAAAAAAAACATTGCATCAAAAAAACTATCTTGTTTCAACCATTTTAAATTCATTATTGTATAAAAGATCATAGATTTTGGCCACAAGATTTTTGTTGATGGGTAGACAGACCATGGGGCAGAAATTTAAGTTTTTTCTTTCAAAGCCCATTAAATTAAGTATATTTTTCCATTAATTGGGGTCATTTAGATAATTTAACATGAAATATCTAACAAAGGTTCTACATTGTATCCAAATGCACCAGACTGTAGTTTAACACAACTCAACTCCTCCAGGGTTGTAAAGTACATCTCAATATATCCTCCTGTTCCAAAATATGAATCATAAATAAAATTATAGTTTAAAATGTAGACTTTCTGATTAATTTTTGAGCATGGTTGGTAAAAAATGTTTTAATTTAAGAATAAATATTATACTGGTTTTATACAAAGAATTAAACCTTTAAAGAGAAAGTCTAAACAATCTGTAAAGTTCCTTTTGAGAAAGTAAAGTTGCATAATAAATATACAAAGGACCTTAAACTTTCCATAATCTCAAGTTAACCCTTTCTAGGTACGAATTCGTAAATATTTGATATTTCATAATATTTTGTATTTTTCATGATCTGATAATTACTTTTGAAAACATTTATTCCTGTTTTGAGGATTTTTGAAAATGAAGACGACATTTTCATATTTTTCAAGAATGTTCGAAAATCCATGATTCAAATTTGAATCATGTTAAGTAAAGAAAAACATTGAAAAGAAAAGATTCAATTTTCCTGAGAAATTAAGATGAACTGATTTAATACTGAGATGTGATACATTCATGTTCCAAACGCATGAACCACCAAGGCTCTCAAAATCTAGAAAAAAAACGTTTAAAAATAAAGTTGGTCCTAGGCAAGGGAAACACAGTAGCCATAGTTTTGTTATTTTAAATGTTTCTCTTCAAGCAGTCCTTTTTCGCGGATTTTTTTACAGCTAATCTCACATATATGAATACATGGGAAGAAAGAATAAAATGTCGTCTTAAAATTTATCATGTATGACAGCTGTAATGCTTCATCATTGGTCTGCACAAAAAGAAAGCAGCTAAGATGTTTGCAGCTTCAAAGGGTTGAATACGATTTATGAAACTATATCTAAATATAATTTTTGGATAATTCTTAAGAAACTGCTTTTTATTTTTAATTCAAGGTAAATTATTAGCTCTGAAATATGAAGGACAGCAATTGATATGGTAAACTCGTTTTTCCATGGCATTTGATCTTAAATATGTTGAGAATGCAACCTTATAAAAAACTGTTTCTATGTATTCAAATATCTGGAATTCAATTAAATTGGTGAATTTATTTGGGTTAAATTTTTTCAAATCAGTTGGTTCATAAACCTTCCTGGAGTCATGTGAGGTGTCACAACTAATTTCACTCCGATCGGTACAAGCTTTCTGCACGTTTATTAAATACAGACAGACAAACAAAAATCGATAAAAACCTGTACTGGAATGAACTAAGTTAGAAGTAGGAACTTGAAACAGAAGCAGTCTTCCATCCTAAGTATAGAATTGTTTATGAATTATAATTGAAAAAGACGAAATTTGAATCCTATAAAGACAACATTTATCTACTTACCTGAGTACCACAGAGAAGAAGAGATCTTGAAAGGAAAACGCATGTTATATCTGAACTAAAACTAGAACCTATAAAAAAATCTTACTTTGAAACTTCAAATGACCTAGGTAGGGTCAAAAAGTGAGACAAACGACCAAATTTTTTTGAGAGACAGCACATTATTTGAAATTTAAATGGTTGTGGCGCTCGACCCCTAGCACATCCTAGCCGCAGCGCTTGGCCCAGAATTGTCATTGGGCCCTGGGTCGTTTGACCCTTTGTCCTTTGATCCTTTGTCCTTTGACCCTAGGTCGTTTGACCCTATGTCCGTGAACCCTTCTAACCATTGCACATGTAGCATCATAAAAAAAGACTAAACTTAAGTAAACAAACATATGAGGATCTAAAAACTAATCCTCTCCATATCTTAATTTTAGTTATTCCTCCCCTGATCCAAGCAAAAATGCCAAAGCATTGACCCTCAATTAAATATAAAAGTGCCGACATTGGAGATCAAGATCAACCTTTCAAGATCATTTTCCCTTATAACTGTATGATGACTGTATTTACCTAAATATTGCCGCTGAAGACAATATCCCTGAAGATTATCCCAATCCTCTTCTGCAGATGAGGCTGTAGAGGACATATTTGAAGCTCTAGAGGCGGTAGAGTACATAGTTGAGGCTCTGGAGTCTGCAGAGGTTGTGGAGTTATCTATTTGGAGGTACTTGCCTCCATTAAACATTCTATTCTCACTAGGTAAATATAAAAAATACAGTGACCCTCAAAATGACTGAAAACACTGAAATTCATTTTCAAATTTCTCAATAATTAGAAAAACATTGTAAGAATACTGAATAATTTACTTCTCATTGCTTTTTAAATTTCTAATCAAAAACAAATAAATAATAAAACTTTTTTGGTTACTGCACTGCGTAAAGGCGATGTAAAAAAAATAATTCAGTAATTACACTTTTACGTATTCATCTTTGACATTAAGCTGAATGTAGCTTGATGATGTATACTCAAAAAAGATTGCAAAAAAATCTTTTTTGTCATGATTAATTATGTTATTTATCATTTAACATTGAGAATCGGAACACTGTAGAATGAAAGTTGTCTTTGTTCCTTATTTTACATAAGGACTCTAAAAATGTTTAGGTGACTTTTTCAGATATAGTTCATTTGCAAATTACACAATGGTTAAACACATATCATTATGGAAAAAGGAAGTTGATGACAATTCCTCTGTTTTCTGGTTCTCACTGTAGTATAATTATCTTTATTGTAAAATAAAAAATTTTAACTGGCAGTACCTTTCTTGGTCTAAACTTCCTATATACCAGTGACCAGAACCATTTCTGGAAAAAAAATGTTTGAATTTTAGACTTTATAGTATTCACATGTGAACAGAGGTGGACTTGATCACTTGATCTCGATATCCACATGTGGGTACTTTTAATTTGGGGATCCATAAAAGCTATAATACCTGAAATAACCCTGAGGCTGAAGTCCAGAGGAGTTTTGCGCAGTTGGTGTAGAATTACAAGACAAAGACAGCCTGTTCTATGCCAACTGTGCGAAACTCCTCTGGGCTTCTGCCTTTGGGTTATTGTGAACGAGTTTCATCCAAATCATGAAAAGACAACATCTAGGGTTCTATCTGTTATTTTAATTAATTCATAGACTTAGGCCATCCTAAAAGGGACTGTCCATATAATATCAAGGGACCCTTCTTTACTTTTCTGATTCACAATTGTACCTTAGACATTGTCAGAGCTAGAAATGATGGAGATATGGTGGTGATAATTTTCAACTGCGATTTCTCTATAAAATTTACTTGCTATTTTATACAGCAAAAATTTTGAAGGAAATTTTGTTGACTGTCCCTAATTTTGATAATTTTGTAAAAAAAATAAAAATTTGTCAAAAATGTTTTTTTTGGGACACTCTGCTCAATTGCATTTGTCTATTCTAAGCAGGTATGCCTGACTCAACAACAAGTTGATCAGGATTGAAAGCTAATTCAGGGCTGAATCAGCATTCAACACATATTCATAGTGTATTTTCTTTTGGGTTAAATGGAGAGGGAGGGGGGTGGGGCGTCTCCAGCCCCGTCTCTAATGCTGTCTCCATTTGCCAATGGGATAAATTGATGGTGTAAAGCTTATCATCGGAGAGTTCCCTTCCATTTTCCTGTTCAATTTTCTTTTTTCTTCTTGTTTCTTCTTTGTAGATTTCTGCAATTTTACTTTGAGTTCCATGTCTAAATCTTTGTTGCTCAAATAAAGTACCATTGTGAATCAGGCATGTGTTCATGTAAATATTGGTTCACTTGATATTTATCGACGATCCCTTTAATACCTCATCTGTTGTGAGACGTACACCCTCTTTATTTTATACCTTTCTGCCCAAATATCCGACATATAAGAGTAAGCGTTGGACGGTGTTTCTCGTTTATCATCAAACACACTGCAGTAATAATAACATTTAGCAAATATGACTTATAGGGACTGTAAACATAATTTCAAGTGCTCCTTCATTTAGAAAAAGAGAAGGGTGTTAATTACACAATAATATCCTTTAAACCATTGTATTAATTATCAAGGATGAATAATGTATTTTTTTTTTCTTTGTAAAAATTGATGATTTTTATGGGGTTTAAATGGTTTTTCCATAATCATTTATTTCTGGTAAGAAGATAAAGAAACAAATTGACAGAATTTATCATGTTTCAAGATAAATAACAAGGAATTCTTCCTCATTAACCAGATAATGTGTAAATAGGACATGTAAATATGGAGGACCCGGGATTAACCAGATAAGGTGTGAATAGGACCTGTAATTGTAAATATGGAGGACCTGGGACTAACCAGATAATGTGTGAATAGGACCTGTAATTATAAATATGGAGGACCCGGGATTAACCAGATAAGGTGTGAATGGGACCTGTAATTGTAAATATGGAGGACCCGGGATTAACCAGATAATGTGTGAATAGGACCTGTAATTATAAATATGGAGGACCCGGGATTAACCAGATAATGTGTGAATAGGACCTGTAATTATAAATATGGAGGACCCGGGATAAACCAGATAATGTGTGAATAGGACCTGTAATTATAAATATGGAGGACCCCGGATTAACCAGATAATGTGTGAATAGGACCTGTAATTGTAAATATGGAGGACCCGGGATGTCAAGTAAATTACGTCTATAAGCCTCTTTAAGTCAGAAAGGTATATTTTTAAAATTTTAATCAAAAACCATTTATTTTAAATTATAAAAACAATTATTTAAAGTTGTACCTAGACTCCAGAGAAGAAACGAAGACGATATCTCTAAACGTCCAAATAGGATTTTTGTAGAGAATATCTGTGTAGCATTGAGATCTGTAGATCTCTTGTACAGGGTTCATGTACAGGATGTACACACAAATATCCCCTGAAATAGTATACATGCTGCGGGCTAAGATGAAAAATATTACATTTTCCAGTAAAGAAGGTTGTTGGTAAAGCTAGAAAATGGCTTTTTGTTTGGACAATTTCAGATCTAAAGATTGAATAAAAAAAATCGGACATTATTCATCTGTCAGAAATCGAAATTTTTCTAGCTTTAAAGGAAGTGTTCGCGAAAAATGAAAGGGGGTATAAGCTTACGGCGAAAAATAAAATGCTTAATTCTGACAATTTCCCCTATTGTTTCTCTATTAGAAATTATGAACAAACCTCAGCAGAAACTAAACAATTTTGAAAGTTAAAACATGGAAATCTCATTCGTTTATAAATTCTGTAGAATACCTGTAAATAAAAAAATCCCCTAAAATTACGTCTTTAAAGAAAGAAACGAATAAAAAACACATTAACATCTAAATATAACAAAGATGAAAAAATGTTAAAGGATTTGTTTGACCTGAAGAGAGAATACAAATAAGTTTGTCCCGCCACAGCTGCCAATGCGTTATAGCACTGTTCTAGAAAAAAAATGAAAAATAAAGTTAATATTTTTTTAATTATTACCGTTAAGATTATGTAGATCAGGAATCTCATAATAATTTTACGAACGTTTATGTTTATTATGAATCCATCAAATTTATTAATTATTAGGAAACTTTTTTGTGAAATTAAGACAAAACAATGAAAATACGAATTCAAAAAAGTTGAAAAACTTTTTAAAAAAATTCTTTTCTTTTTTGTGTAGAGAAAATATTAATTATATCATCGATTTTTTTTATCAATTACAATTATAGGGAAAATAAAGAGATGATGTACAATCACTACAAGGTACTGTATAGGCTTAATATAAAAACCCCGGTTCCCAACAGTACCCTTTAAACTTTTGTCTGGAAAAGGATAAACAAGATATCCATATTTCTAAACCTGAAAATGGATTATTAAAAAAATAATATTTACCCATTAATTGCAAATTAACAAAATGGCAACATTTTGTTAGAAAGAAAAAGGACAATATCATCCTCATTGGTAATCAGGCAGAGTTTTAAAGGGAACCGTTAATTGATTTGGAGATGTCACTTGAAATTAGGTCTTTCTTCGGTCCTTATAAAACGCTCCGTAGTATTTCCGAATTAATCAAATTCGAACTTTAAAATTATTAGTTTAATTAAAACCTGATGTATAACAGCTAGACGTGTAGTTCTAACAGCATGTCCGACGTAGTAGATTTCTAGTACATGTACTCCATTGAACTCATCCCTGTACATAGAACAAAATAATCATTTATGTACTCAAAAACTCATTCATTTTTACCAAAACTTGTACAATGTCTTTCGAATTTCGAATCCTAAGTGAGCATCAAGTTTCAAAGAAAATAATGCAATGTTTTCTGTAGTGCAAATAAGGGCATGCATTCAACAAATGATTTTTTAAAGTTACATCCCCCTGGACCTGACGACAATCCTAGGACCAAACACCATGTACCTGGCATTAAATCTAGAACCAAAACCTGTACCTGGCAGCAAATCTAGAACCAAAAAACTTGTATTTTGCATTAAATCTAGAACCAAGCAACCTAAACCCGGCATTAAATTTAGACCCAAACACCTTGTACCTGGCATTAAATCTAGAACCACACAACACAATCATAATCCTTTTAAAATAGAAAACAAGAACGATGTACTCGAGAAGACTGAATGGGTCAACTTTTTACTTTAAACTTCTTTGTGATCTGCTCTCAATATTTTACACTTTCTTTTCTCTCCTGTATCCTATTCTACACTTGTCAGAACTCAATCATTGTCAGAGCTTTTATCATATTAAAGGAATAGATTTCAGAAACTTTTCTCTCACAAAACATATTTCATATTTAGGGACAAAGAATTGGAAAAAATAAAGATGAAAACTCGTTACAAGGATTCTTGTGTGTTAAAAGAAACTCTGTTTTTGTCTCAAATTTTACATCCCTTTATCTTTGCAATTTTATGGTGTTACCCACAAAGGATTTCAGTTAATGACGACCTAAAGCTTCTTCAAAATAAGGTTTATAATGCTGCTCTTGTAAATAGGCCTTAAATATCGACTTTCAAATATGCATAAAATAACTGGGTAAAAAGATAAACAAGTTTATAACTGCAGAACCTTGAATGTAATGCAACCAAATTGGTATTCTCTGAAGTCTCATCCTTTAAGGTTAATCCCGTCCTCGACGTACATAAAATTATAAAATGCGTATTTAATGCATTGTCGTCTTTACACTGTCATTTTTTGTGAAACACCCACGGACACTTGACTACGATAGAAAGGAGATGACGCGGCCCGCTCTACCATATGATTATACATGCTTTGCAGATGGTACTTCATTTGAAAAAGATGTCTGATGCACAATTACCGTGCATACAATAACCTTTTCTGAATATTTCTTATACAAATGGAGGACCCGTCTGCAATGCATGTATAATCATATGGTAGGGCGGGCCGCGTCAGTTGTATCTTCCCTTCTCTTTCATACTTCTTGCTATCAAACTATAAAAAGGTATATAACGAATTAAAAAGAAGATGTGTAATGATGAAAAAATAGTACCTGTTAGATTCCACTTTGTAGAAGTGTAGACTGTGTTGACCAGCGGCTAGGAGAAGGTTTAGGTATGGCATAAAGGTCAAAGAGTAAACAGAACCATCATTTATGTTTACTTTACAGTTCTGGTTTAAGTTACTGGACCCTTAATTAGTATATTATCATTAATTTTACTATCGTAATAATTATTACCATTTATTATTAATATTAATATTATTATTATTATTGTTAGTATTATTTTTATAATTACTTTTATTACTATTATTACTATTATTATTATTATTATTATTATTATTATTATTATTATTATTATTATTATTATTATTATTATTATTATTATTATTATCATTATTATTATTATTATTATTATTATTATTATTATTATTATTATTATTATTATTATTATTATTATTATTATTATTATTATTATTATTATTATTATTATTATTATTATTATTATTATTATTATTATTATTATTATTATTATTATTATTATTATTATTATTATTATTATTATTATTATTATTATTATTATTATTATTATTATTATTATTATTATTATTATTATTATTATTATTATTATTATTATTATTATTATTATTATTATTATTATTATTATTATTATTATTATTATTATTATTATTATTATTATTATTATTATTATTATTATTATTATTATTNAATTCATTAAAGTTTATGGTTGTCAGTATATAAAATTAACATTAACATTAACATTATCATTAACATTAACATTGATTTTAAAAAATTTAATAACGTTTGTGGTTGTCAGTATATAAAGTTAACAATAACACTAACATTAACATTAACATTTACTTTAAACAATTCATTAAAGTTTATGGTTGTCAGTATATAAAGTTAACATTAACAATAACATTGACTTTAAACAATTGATGTTTATTTATATGTTAATATCAATTAACATAAAATTTGCATGTTAATATTATCATTAATTAAATTTATTAAATCTTCAATGGTATGTTGCACTTGTACCTAGCGAGCTTAGATTTTGTGTTGGATACTCATGGTCCTGATCGCTTGATTTAGATATCAATTTTGGGCACTTTCGCCAAAATCTATTTAGATAATTATGCAAATTATATCTGCAAAAAAAAACTCTGTATCATGTGAATAAACTTAGTCTTTACTATCTTCTTCACCCTGTAGTTCATAAACATGATTCTAATAACTTATGTTACCCTCTGTTCCAACCCTTATGCTGAGTATCCTCCCTTTCCTTTATACTCCCTCACCTCCTCCTTACCTTTTACCTGATTTATTATCATTCTTATGATTAAAATGTACAGTGTACATTGTTTTTATCTGCAATTCTCATTCGTTTATAGTGGGCCAACCAATTAAAACAACCTACTCTGGTTAGGCGGGTCCAAACTACATAGTAAACTACATAGTAAAATTAATATAATGATCAATTGGAAATTTTATCTGACCAAAAATGACGCTTACAGTCTTTTTTTTAGATAGAAAAGTGTTTTACCTCTTGGATATTGCAAAATCATCTAAACGAAAATTTAGAATTCACCTGTTTGTGATTCCAGGTTTAGACCTTATCCAACAATACCATATACATGCCCAGTCACAACCCTGACAACAAATTTAATTTTAGAACACATTTGATACAGTGAGAACCATGAAACTCGGCAATAGGAAGACGACTTTAGACTCAAGTTACGATTAAAAATAGTCAAATGAACATGAGACACATGAATTTTTCAGTATAAATAGACACATTTAACTTATCAAATGATTTTATATGTTAATACTAAAACTATTTGTTTCTGAACGGCATAAAATACACTTATTAATTATCTTAATCAAGTCTTCTTATTCTATTTACAGTTTTCTGGTTCTCGCTTTATTTTCAGAATCAAACTTCAAAATTTCTGATCTTAAATTTTTAAACTCTTAAATTCAGCTTTTTTAAAATTATTCCTCACACATTATTCAAATTATTTCCTCTTTTTATCCAAATTTTTGCGAATTTTGTCTTCTCTAGATTATTCCCATCTCAATTCAGATTCCCAGATTCAATTCCAACTCCCATCTTATTTTCCGAAATTATTCTCACCTCATTTACCTAAATTATTCCCACCTTCATTGCTAAATTATTCTCACCATATTTCCGAAATTATTCCCACCTTTTATTCCGAAATTATTTTCACCTTATTTAAGAAATTATTCCAACCTTATTTTCCGAAATTATTCCTACGTTATTTTCGAAAATTATTCCCACTTTATTGTCGAAACTATTTCCACCTTATTTTCCAAAATAAGTCCCAACTAATCCACCTTACTTTCCGAAATTATTCTCACCTTATTTTCCGAAATTATTTCTGCAAGAATATCTTCCGGTATAAGAAGAACACAGAGTTTTTTAATACTGCGCTCAGACACCTATAACCGGATAAAAACAAAAACTATAAAAATTCAAAGCGTCAACAATTTTGTGCAATGTGAATGTTGTTTAATGAGTACTTTTAGGAGTGTTCCTGAGCACAATACAAATTGTTTTACTTCTATTAAAAAAATGGTTTTGTAAATAATTCATTTCTTTCGTAATATAACATTGCTTTAGAAATTGTTTTTGTCAAAAATTGATGTTTTAAAAGAACGGACATTTCAGAGATAAAGGACATTTTGTAGAGGACATTTTGTAGATATCTTTACGACTATGATACTTCATCGACATGACATTTCAAGTATGGGTCATAGTGGTATATAGCCTCCATATAAATTCACAGAGTTGCATTATTTAACCCAGACCATAAATAAAAAAAAAAGATATTTAAAACTTTCTGAGAGAACATTCAGTGCATTTTCTTAATGAAATTACTTTTTTAACTATAATAATTTATTTTAATTAAATTTTACAACATTTTTAAATTTCAGATGGAAACACTTTGAGACTTCCATATTTCTTGTTTTTCATTCTTTTTTCTTGATCGTCCATTCCTTGTTCATCCTTCAAACATAATTTGGCTAATTTTGAAAAGAAAAATGAATGAATTTTTTTGATGTTTCTGCAGCTAGCCAAATTACTATTTTTTTGAGCCCTGTATCTATATTCTGAGAGTGGCAAGGTTACTATATAACTTGTTTGTTTTTAAATTTTGCTAGAGTCATGTTACTATGTCAGCTTCTACATTCCTATCAACACACTTTCAATGAAATTTAATGTATTGGGGGGAGAGGGGTGAGGGGGCGTTTTACACATTTTCCAGTTTTTCATCTCAAGTAGGACATGAGGGGGAATGGGACGTCTGCCATCCTGCGGATTTGTCTTTATTCGCTATCGGTGAAAAAAAATTAGACAGTGTAAAGCTCAAATCCTCTTCTAATTTTTCCTGTCTCTTCCAAACCTTTTGAATTCAAGGCTTACAATGTCTTCAAATTTTAGAAGACCATATTTGTTTAAGGTGAAATCACACTAGCTTCATACTCTAGAACTAAGTGGTGCCATGCTTACAGACACAAGTTACCTATCTATTTTGATGAATTGTAAAAAGTTTGCAAAACTTGAATACTTCCAAATGCACTAATGTTGGGGATGACACTCTACTGAAGCTGTTTCTTATTTATAGAAGTTTACTTTTATCTCTTGATATAGGTGGTATATATATAAAAGGAGAAAATCTATCTGAATCCCATGAAACACTGCCTTTCATTGACAACCTTGGTTTTGATATTTGTCAGCAACTGTCTGATAGCAAAGTGTAGAAGATAATAAGTATTTGTGGAGCTAACCATCCATCCCGGATGATAAATTATGAAGAAATACCACAAAACCCTTCAATAGATGGCATAAGATCACTGCTTTGTTTACAACACCTTTCACTGGCAAAATGTAGAAAATTTCACTGGAAAAGGATTGCATAAGTACTTGTCTGAAGGTAATGGAATTTTTCTAAACATTTCAAGTTGTTGCGAGCTAACAGATACAGGATTATTATTTAAATCATCTTATTTTTATTTTTGTTATGAAATAGTTTACAGAAATAGTTTAAGCACTGGATATCGATATCTAATGTGGGGGATTTCAAAATTGAGGATAAATTCTTGATCCATAATTTAAAGCTGAGGACTGGTTCAGTAAGGTATATGTATCTCTTGTCTCTGAGTGTAAGGCTGAGGACTGGTTCAGTAAGGTTTATGTATCTCTTGTCTCTGAGTGTAAGGATGAGGACTGGTTCAGTAAGGTTTATATATCTCCTGTCTCTGAGTGTAAGGATGAGGACTGATTCAGTAAGGTTTACTCCATCTCCAAGTCTTTTACTGTCTTCCTTGCTCTTAGTTTAACCCAGATTCTATAAAAGAGTTCTGATCCAGCGAGGACAAAATCTAGAACTATGGATGCAATAACAGTATTGGAGACAAGTTTAGGAACAATCCAACATGGAACTTCAATCTGATCCAGCTGCAGACCAATTAGCCAAACCACGGCTAAAAAAGAACAAACCATATGAACGAGACAATGAATTATCCAGTGAACTTCGCGAAGTTTAAAGTTTCCGAACTCACAATAGCATCTCTGGAGTAGATTTACAACAGTAGAGCAGAGAACTACTGGATGACAACAGCATCTCTGGAGTAGATTTACAACAGTAGAGCAGAGAACTACTGGATCACGACAGCATCTCTAGAGTAGATTTACAACAGTAGAGCAGAGAACTATTGGATCTCAACAGCATCTCTGGAGTAGATTTACAACAGTAGAGCAGAGAACTACTGGATCACAGCAGCATCTCTGGCGTAGATTCACAACAGTAGAGCAGAGAACTACTGGATCACAACAGCATCTCTGGAGTAGATTTACAACAGTAGCGCAGAGAACTACTGGATCACGACAGCATCTCTAGAGTAGATTTACATCAGTAGAGCAGAGTAGAACTATTGGATCACAACAACAACCATAAGACTGTCTCCAGCAGTTACCAAACAATCCACAAATCCAGAATTGAAGCAGACCAATCCAAACTGCTCCAGATACTACCAAGTAGTGGAAAGCGAATTTACAAGGATAAATATTATGAATATCTTTTGTGGAATTAAAGGTGTGATACACCTAAACCTAATTTATAGAAGTTGAAGAAGAAGAAAGGAACAGTCAGAACCAATAAAACCTGAGAAGCAGGCAGACACGGACAACACACACATTCTTCAGTCTTGGAGTAATTCCAGCACACACAGAGTTATTTGATGCATCTTCTCCACATTATCTCTTCCTATAACATCAGACAACTTGTCTCCTGTCCTTGTTGCGAACTTACTCAATCCTGTTTCTTTAATTGTCTTTTCTCCAATCCTCTCTCCAACTAGGTTTCCTATGATGGATCCAATGATAGGAGGTCCTACAGCTTCTCCCACAATAGATCCGAGTTCAGATCCTCCATTTGCTCCGGCCTTAGACATAGCTTTACCCAGAATTTTACCCACGATGGTTGGTTGATTTTCTCCTGGATTTGTGAGGTTGACCTGGGACGGATCTCCCTTTTGTCGTGGAGGCAGTGGATATAAAACATGTTCCTCTCCAGGTCTCTGCATCCCTACTCAATAATTAACCTGTGCTCTCTGTTAGAAGTGAATCAAGTGTTATAAAGCTTAGTAGTTTAAGACTGGACTATATTAAACTACTCAGGACTGTTATACTGATCTCGTTATCTTTCTTAAAAAGATAAATTTCTAGAATTATGCTCATTTTACGTCAGGAGAGAGGTAAGTTCGCACGCTTACATGTTTACGTAAATATTAGTCAGCTTAACTACATCTAGTTTGTTTAGTCAGAAGACATTTAAATTATGAAATTATTACAGCATGTAGCTGTATTTTCTAGTGCAATTTCAATAATTTTTCATTAATACATCAATTTTCACTGTTTAGATTTCACTTACAAAAGGATGTATGCATGTTTATTGGTTAGCGCCCTCATCCAGATCTCTTTTCAAACTGTTTTCCTTTTAACAGGGAATATATTTAACAAAGAGATTACTGTGTTTTTATTTATAACTTAACAGGAGTAACGAAAGATATTTAAAACTTTCTGATAGAAAACTAAGTGTATTTTCAGTGTATATAAATGTGGCGAAAGATAATCGATGACTATAGGTTGTAATATCTGAATGATTTGTTTGAAATTAAATTGATTTTTTTACGGTCTAAGTCGTATGTTGCAATTTTCTCAATTTGTATGGACGCCATGTTATTCGGTATGAGACGTCTTTAACAATTATCTCCTTTTAGACTCAAAAGATAGAAGTATTATTAGTAGCGATCAAAAGCGCTTTTTTATTGCATTAAGCCTATACCCCCATTCATTTTTCTCGAACACTCCCTATGATTAGTTCAAATCATGCGACATACTTAAATTACGATATAAAATATCGTCAGAAATAGATTAACTGCGTTAGATCTATTCTTTTTTATCCTGTAAATACTTTCTCCATAACTTCAACTGTATAATGAATATATAATACGATATTTTGAATCATGTGATATTAATATCATCGTAGGAATTAAATTACGTCAAACCCTGTTATCTACCTACCACTGTAGATGAGTGGCAAAGTTAAAAAAAACAAATTCGTGTTTTTAAAGCTAAAGTTTTTACATTTATGATAGACTATCTTGGGAATTAAGATTTTTTCAACTTAAAGTCGCTCAACATTTTAATTCCCGTTGGAATCCAAATTTTGAAACCACTAATTAATACAGGAAAATTACAATGTTTTTGTTTTTGTCAAAAATGTTTTTGTAAAATGTGCAGTATAGTATCCTAAAACCTAAATTATATCAAAGAGTATAAATGTTTACAGTATCTTAAATTCTAAACTATAAAGTATAACTTTTTAAGAGTAAAGTGTACAGCATCATAAACTCTAAATTATAAAGTATCAATGTTTAAGAGTAAAGTGTACAGTATCATTAACTCTAAACTATAAACTATATCAATGTTTAAGAGTAAAGTATATTAAAATCTAAATTGTTAAGTATGAATTAGTATGAGTAAAATGTATACAGTTTACGACAGTGTTAGTATGAGACATAAATTTGTAAAAAAAACCTAATAAACTATTCAACAATAAACAAAGAGCTTTATTACCTACCTGTAGAAATCCCAGGAACAAAATTGGAGTAATTTATCTTCACAATAAAGAAAATGAAAACACAACTTGGTTTTTAAATTGGTCCTCAACATAAGCAGACTAGGTCTATGAAATTAATATAAATATCATGACCGGGTTTTCGGGTTTTGTTGTTTATGGAGACAAGCAAAAAAAGGAAAATTGGTCCCCGAAGCTCCATGAACACCGGACCCATGCGGGAATTTTCCACTTATAAACGGGCAAACCCAACCAACAATGACCGGTGCTCCATTGCACTGGCACACATGGAAAAGACCAATATCACTTTTAGCTAATTTTTTATTTACTTTTTGAATATTCAATTGTAAACGGTTTTGAAATTATTAAAATTACAAATTTTCCCAAAATAAAGATTAAACTTTTTCAAAACATGGTTTTATTATAATAGGATAGGATTTAGTCCAATGGAACCTATTATTAGACCGTAAAATTTAAAAAACCAGATAACTGTTCTTTTCAGGAGATATCGGCAAAATTCGGCTGAACACATTAAGTTCAGGTACAAATATGTTAATTTCACTTCATAATTTTTAATCTCAAATAACCAAGGGACATGGCCATTCTAGATAATACTTCAAAGAGAATGAGAATTTTTTATATTTATCCAAGCCTGAAGAGCTAATGGAGAGAGTTAATGTTATTAAACCCTCAATGTTTCAAACTACCGGACATTCCTATACTTTTTAGTAAAGGATAAACGAGGATTGATAAACTAAGCCGTTAAATCACCCAAAAGAAATTCTACATTTTTTGAAATGTGTAATCTACAATCCTAAATAATACAGTTATATTTAAACTAATAGTTCAGATATTACAATGGCGTCTTTATAATCAAAAATGCTATAAAACGTATTATGAAATATCGAAAATGCATATAAATGCTCATTTCTGTCCAAAATGAATGAAAAAACAAGCCACATAATTTTCTGCATCTGAATTCAATTCTCCTCATTTTCTCATATGAGCCACCTCTTTTAATACTCTTCCTTGTAATTTTAGTTTTTAACCGCGGTTGAATCCTTACAATCCAATTTTTCAAAAAAATGGAACGTTGAGAAGAAAATGATATAAAAATTAAGGAACTCCCCCCCCCCCCCCCCCCCCCCCCCCACCCTTAAAACCCTAAATTCGTTATAAAAAGTTTGATAAAATGTTCTTTGTTTTGTTGTTTCCTTTCTCCAATAGTTGGACACGAGGGAGGCTGCAGTTAGATCTGATTTAATACGCTTTTACTAATATTAAATCAAATATATAAATTTGTTTTAAAGGGACTGTAGACGAATTTAAGCAATTTTGGAATTTTATAATTTTGTGATTTTGTAATTTTGTAATTTTTGAAATTTTGTAATTTTGTAATTTTGTAATTTTGCAGTTTTTTAATGTTTTAATTTTGTAATTTTTCTAATTTCGTATTTTTGTAATTTTAACCATTTTAGCCCTCAATGTTGAAGTGATAAAAAGGTGAAAGATTTATTTTGTGGATGCTAGGTCACAACAACTTTGATCAAATAAAGACGACCTATAATAAATGTAGATCTGAAGTAATTTATAACTAACGTTCATGGATTAAACTTGTTATTTTGCGGTTTGCCTTAATTGAGGTGTTCTAGGGATATAGGGTTACCTACAAAAGATGAGACTTCATAATTTATACTGCATGTTTCCTTATATTAATGATTCACTGTTACTGTAAACTGCTTTCTTTGTCAAATCATTACATAAAATATACAGATTTTTATTTGATAATACAAGAATTTCTGGTCGTCTTTACTGTCTCATCCTTTGCGGGTAACCCTGTATATTAAATGATTTGGCAATGAAAGCAACCAGATTACAGTTGTAAACAGACATGAATTAAAGAAAAAGGACTGATAAAATTCTGTACAGTCGTCTTTAACGTCTCATTCTTTGTGTTTCACCCTGGATTAAACTTTCTAGTTTTAGTATTTAACTTATAAAAACGTTTTCCCTGAATCTTGAAGAAGTTCGAATATTTTTTGTAAAACTTCACAGGGCAAACTCTGAACACCATGTTTGTTTTCTAAAATCATTTTATTCTTGTGTCCTGGGAACTAAATGATAGCTGACGCGGAACTGAGGCACTAAGGGAAAATCCCGGATATTTTGTATATTTTTTATATTTTTTTCTTAATTTTCCCGCGCATATTACTGGCTTTCTACACCGCCGGCTTAAACAGGGGTAGATTACTCTAATACAATTTTTGTCCTAATCAAAAATAGAGATAGTTGATTTTGTTTGCTCTATCCTTTTGCTTTAATTGATTTTAGTCACACATAAAATACCCAATCATGAAATAATACTTTCTTTTACTTTCGCATTTATACAGATACGCAGACGCATGCAAACAAAGACAAACAGCAAAATAAAACTTGTCATGAGTTTATCATATTCAAGATCTTGCTATTCACCCTGACTAACCCTGTATATATAGATCCTGTGTAGATTAATTTAAATTTAAATTTAAATTCTTCAATTTTAATGTTATCAGCTTATTACGATTATATTGAAGGCCTAAAAAAGACGACATTCATATAAGCTTTTTTTGGGTTGAAATTTAATCTAAAACAAATTAGGGTATCCATACGGGTAAGACAGGGTCAACCAAAATAGATGAGATTTATTCGACAACCTATAACCCTGTAAATATCCCACATAAAGATTTATATAACAACCTATAACCCTGTAAATACCCCACATAGAGATTTATTTGACAACCTATAACCCTGTAAATACCCCACATAGAGATTTATATGACAGCCTATAACCCTGTAAATATCCCACAAAGAGATTTATATGACAACCTATAACCCTGTAAATACCCCACATAGAGATTTATATGACAACCTATAACCCTGTAAATATCCCACATAGAGATTTATATAACAACCTATAACCCTGTAAATATCCCAAATATCTTGTAGTCGAACGGGGGTCCCTTATAGATTCTTTCGTTATTGACTTCGCTGACTTTATTCCGCTCAGGATGCAGTTTTGAAATCTCTTTCTTTGTTGTGAACCCAAACTAATCATTTCATCAAAAACAACGGTCCAAAGTTTTTTGTTTTAAACACATTTTAATTTAAAACAAAATTAAAATTTATTAAGAACGATTTCTAAATTATCTATATGTATATGAAGGTAGTAATTCTGTTTGTGTGTTTGTATGTCCGAGCCTAACTGATAAACCCACGGACCGATTTTCCTCAAATTTTGATCAGGGAAGTCTGTAGAACACGGAAATGTATTTTGCTAGGCTTAAAAGTTCTTAGTTGATTCTTATTCAGAAAAATTTGTTTCAAGGCAAAGCTGGGTTCCCGAACGCTAGTGATTAAATATTTGTAAAGGATGCAGGTCCTTTATAGTAGTTCTTTGAAAGCACGACATAACAACTTTTCTTCAAATTCTAAAGAGAGACTTAGCAAAAACATATTTGAAAATAATCCGGATTTATAGTTTTAAAGGGACTGTAAGCGTAATTTAAAGTGACCGTTAATGGAAAGATGACAATGTCCGATTCACAATGGTACCATGAAAAGCTTTTCTGATCGATTAAGAATTAGATAAAGATGTTTATTATTTCTAAAACTGATTCTATTTAATTGTAGTTTTTCTACAAAAGTATCTTGCGCATTTCTGATATGAGAATAGATATTGTAAATACCCGAACGAAACCCTAGAAAAACGACAATATCTTCCACATTGATGATCAAATACGTTTTTCAGGGATACCGTTGTGAATCGGGCATTGTCATCTTTACCTATGAGGGTCACTTGAAATTACACTTACAGTTCCATTAAGTGTTCTCTATCTGGAAAGTGAAAATTTTAATGAATAATATATTTGTCTTTGTTGGTATCATTACCATTCCTCAACACTTGGAAACCTATATGTGTCCGCACATAATCTAATTTTACTAGGCTTTCCGTGTTTTCGCCTAGAGGGTCGTGTTTCGCTCGAAGTGGGAAAACTAAATGATGTGATTTTTTTTTACAGATATCAGACACTAGTAGCTAAAGAAATTAGTTTTTCCTTTTAACTTTAAAGTAAATGAACTCTCTGATATTCAATTTATTTATCAAGGTTGTGTTTACAGACATAAAGCGTTATACTTTAATAAAAAAAAGTTTAAAATGATTAAAATCTCATATAGCTGCCAAAGGACATTAAGTAATTAATATAATTTACATGTGTGGTGCACCCCAAAAGAACTCATCAATGCATTGCTCCTCAGGGGTGGCTTCGTGTCTCATAGCCTTCATGTTCCAGGCAGCAGCATCGTACTTGTCTGTGGAGTAGGAGTTGGAGGGTACTTCTCCAGTCATCTTCTCGATGTGAGTAGCCAGCTCGTACTTCATGCACAGCTCCCTCTCTGACTTCATGCAGCAGCTAAAGAAAACCATGTGACGACCGTACTTCTTCTTGAAGTCGTTCTCTTGAAGGGTAGACTCAGGCCAGCTCTCAGAAATAGCGTGGCAGTCGTTCATCTTGGTGCTAAGCTTCTGGACAAAGACGGGATCGGCTGCGGCCTTAGCGCCCTTGTACCTCTCGGTAATAGCCTCGACGGTGAACTTCTCAATGTTGATGTCTCCATCTTCATTCAGAAATCCCAACTCTTGAAGAACGCAGGTCAGATTTCCCATCTTGGAGTTCCATTCACCCATCAGGTTGGTTAGAGCGTTGGAGGAGTCAATAGCCATCCTCTTGGATCTAGACTCTTCTTCCTCGTCATCTGTATGCTCCTCATCATGAGGCATAGATCCAATGCACTTCTTCGTAGCTGATTTGATTTTTTTGTGCATGGTTTCTACGAATTCATCTCCAAAGCATTCGCAGCAAAGGTTGTAAGTGTTAATTTTTTCTACCAACTTCTCATCGATCATATCTCCTCCGAGAGCGAAGGAGCAGAGTAGAGATAGAACAACTACCTGGTGAATCCTAGAAGAAAAGTTTATAAATAACAATTTTACAGGGATTTCAAAGCGATTTCCAAAAAGCAATTAGAACCCGTTTTGGAACTGATGTCCCATGTAATAGGATCATGAAAAGAGATGACATTTGAGATATATGTAAATTCTAAAATTAAAAGTTTATTCTTGTAATGTTTATTTTTCCACATTTTGAATGATAATTGTTTGCATTTTACTTTGATTTTTAGTTGAAGATTTGAGAATTCAGTTATTTTAATAATATTTCATTAAAGGAAAAAAAATTTTCCATTCATTTAAACTTTTAAACAAATTATTTTCTTGTTAAATAAATCAAATATTTCCTATTTATAAATTTCATTATTTTTTAAAAACAGAACACTGTGCCACAAACTCGAATTTCAAAATCCCTAAATCTTTGCAACTTTACTTGATGTTGTGCAAGACCTTTTATATTTTAAACTATGAAAATTCTCTTAATACAAAGTGTTAAGTTGGAAAGATAAAAGGTTTACACAAAAATGTAAGATTTCCTCAGTTAGAGTTTACAATACCTTTTTTAGACTGTAAGTATAAAATTTAACACATTAATATTCAACTTATATTGCGTCGGTAAGATTTTTATAATTTAGTTATGTTTTGTCAAAAAGTTAAATGTATTAAAACTCATATGGTAAAATTTATATTCTTAACCTTTTTTAAAATATCAAATTAAGAGTGAAAATTTAAGTTTGTGACATGTTTCTGTCATATTCTTAAACTTCATTTTTGTCAACAAGTTTAAAGTCTTTAACGCTCAAAGGGAAAAATTTTAACAGTTGAACTTTTTAAAGTTAAAGGTGAAAATATTGGAAATGGGAGATGGTAAAAAAGTTGTTTTCAGGCCGGGTTGAAGATTTATACTTACATATTTCTGCTGTTGTGTCACCCAGAAGACTATGCCTAAAGAAGCCTGCCTGGTTTCTTTTATACCCGGGATTTCTCTCTGGTGCGCAACCCCATTACTCAAACCAGGCCCCCTGGTGATTCAAGCTACATAAAAATACCCTTTTAATGTTAAGAATATCTTACATACATTCATGATAATTTAAACATTAATTCAGATTATTCAAAATGTAACAATTTTGATCGTTACAGGGACTCTAAACGTAATTTCAAGTAACCGGCCTCCTTTCCCTTATCGATAAAATGGCACACACTCCCAATGCACAATGGTACTGGTTAAACTATAATCGAATTTAATATTTTTATTTTTATATTTACCTTCTCTGAAAAAAGGGACTTTTGCATCACTTGCAACAAAAAAATGGAAAATGATCAGAATGAAACCCTTTTCTTTATCTTATACCAGGCTTTTAAGGTGCTTCGCGTCCATCTATTATTTTAATTGTGAACATTTCCTCTGGATTCATTGTAAAACAAAAACAAACAAAAAATTTCGCGTATTTTTAAAAAATGTTTTGTTGATTTTCAAAATTTTTATAATCGAATTTTGTTAGATCATAATCCTTCCCTGGGTCACACTTACGAATAGTCCCACACACAATTTGGGCCGTTTATTTGATACAAGCGAACAGACAGACAAACACCCACCCAAGCAAGGTTGATATATATGAAAGGTCAATGTTGAGGGGGCTCCATTTCTTTAGTTTATGCTTCTTTGCTTCATTTTTAACGTTAACCAACTTTAAATTCAAGAAAATTGCACATTGAAGTCTTTCATATTTTAAATTATATCTCCACGCATCAACTTAATTAAAAAAATGCATAAACCGAGTCAGTACGGTACCAGCCTGTCTAGTGTGTCAGACTAGTCTTTACAGTACCAGACTGTCTAGTGTGTCAGACTAGTTTTTACAGTACCAGCCTGTCTAGTGTTCCAGACTAGTCTTTATACGGTACCAGCCTGTCTAGTGTGTCAGACTAGTCTTTATACGGTACCAGCCTGTCTAGTGTGTCAGACTAGTCTTTATACGGTACCAGCCTGTCTAGTGTGTCAGACTAGTTTTTACAGTACCAGCCTGTCTAGTGTGTCAGACTAGTCTTTACAGTTCCAGCCTGTCTAGTGTGTCAGACTAGTTTTTACAGTACCAGCCTGTCTAGTGTGTCAGACTAGTATTTACAGTACCAGCCTGTCTAGTGTGTCAGACTAGTTTTTACAGTACCAGCCTGTCTAGTGTGTCAGACTAGTTTTTACAGTACCAGCCTGTCTAGTGTGTCAGACTAGTATTTACAGTACCAGCCTGTCTAGTGTGTCAGACTAGTTTTTACAGTACCAGCCTGTCTAGTGTGTCAGACTAGTCTTTATACCGTACCAGCCTGTCTAGTGTGTCAGACTAGTCTTTACAGTACCATCCTGTCTAGTGAGTCAGACTAGTCTTTATACAGGACCAGCCTGTCTAGTGTGTCAGACTAGTCTTTAAAGTACCAGCTTGTCTAGTGTGTCACACTAGTCTTTACAGTACCTGCCCGTCTAGTGTGTCAGAATAGTCTTTATACGGTACCAGCCTGTCTAGTGTGTTAGACTAGTCTTTACAGTACCAGCCTGTCTAGTGTGTCAGACTAGTCTTTACATTACCAGCCTGTCTAGTGTGTCAGACTAGCCTTTATACAGTGCCAGCCTGTCTAGTGTGTCAGACTAGTCTTTATACAGTACCAGCCTGTATAGTGTGTCAGACTAGTCTTTACAGTACCAGCCTGTCTAGTGTGTCAGACTAGTCTTTACAGTACCAGCCTGTCTAGTGTGTCAGACTAGTCTTTACAGTTCCAGCCTGTCTAGTGTGTCAGACTAGTTTTTACAGTACCAGCCTGTCTAGTGTGTCAGACTAGTATTTACAGTACCAGCCTGTCTAGTGTGTCAGACTAGTCTTTACAGTACCAGCCTGTCAAGTGTGTCAGACTAGTCTTCACAGTACCAGCCTGTCTAGTGTGTCAGAATAGTCTTTATACAGTACCAGCCTGTCTAGTGTTTCAGACTAGTCTTTACAGTACCATCCTGTCTAGTGTGTCAGACTAGTCTTTATACAGTACCAGCCTGTCTAGTGTGTCAGACTAGTCTTTACAGTACCAGCTTGTCTAGTGTGTCTGACTAGTTTTTATACGGTACCAGCCTGTCTAGTGTGTCAGACTAGTATTTATACGGTACCAGCCCGTCTAGTGTGTCAGACTAGTCTTTACAGTACCAGCCTGTCAAGTGTGTCAGACTAGTCTTTACAGTACCAACCCGTCTAGTGTGTCAGACTAGTCTTTATACGGTACCAGCCCGTCTAGTGTGTCAGTCTAGTCTTTATACGGTACCAGCATGTCTAGTGTATCAGACTAATCTTTACAGTACCAGCCCGTCTAGTGTCTCAGACTAGTCTTTTCAGTACCAGCCTGTCTAGTGTGTCAGACTAGTCTTTACAGTACCAGCCTGTCTACTGTTTCAGACTAGTCTTTACAGTACCAGCCTGTTTAGTGTCTCAGATTAGTCTTTTCAGTACCAGCCCGTCTAGTGTGTTAGACTAGTCTTTACATGGTGCCAGCCCGTCAAGTGTGTCAGACTAGTTTTTAAAGTACTAGCCTGTCTAGTGTCTCAGAGACGGGCGGATTTTTGGTAATGTCAATTTTGGTAATGACAATTTGGTAATGACAATTTGGTAATGACAATTTGGTAATGACAATTTGGTAATGACAATTTGGTAATGACAATTTGGTAATGACAATTTGGTGATGACAATTTGGTAAGGCAACAATTTGGTAATTACAATTTGGTAAGCTCACAAAAGTGACAATTTGGTAATGACAAATTGGTAACGTCATAAAAGTGACAATTTGGTAATGACAATATGGTAACTATAAAAAAAGTGACAATTTGGCAATACCATTTTGGTAACTACAAAAAAGTGACAATTTATTGATAAAAGTTAAATTTAATTAGATTTAATGGTTAATAATTTGCTGTTTCTCACATTATTTAGGGTTAGGTTAGGTTAAGACAATTTCTGGGCCGAGCGCTGGGTATAGGATGGGCTAGGGGGCCGAGCGCTGCGGCCTATTAAAAGTTAAATAATATGCGGTCTCTCTCAATATTTTGGGTTAGGTTAGGTTAGGTTAGGTTAAGACAATTTATGGGCCGAGAGCTGCGGCTAGGGTGGGCTAGGGGGCCGAGCGCTGCCGGCTATTAAATGTTAAATAATGTGCTGTTTCTCACATTATTTTGGGTTAGGTTAGGTTAAGACAATTTCTGGGCCGAGCGCTGTAGCTAGGATGGGCTAGGGGCCAAGCACTGCATCCTCTTAAATGTTAAATGTTGATTATAAAAGGGACAGTTTGGTAACTTCATATAAAAAGAGACATAAATAACTTCCTAAAATTTACATACATAAAGTCTGTTCTTGTTGTAGTATTTAAATCCTTCTGAATCTTGTAACATTTTGCCATCCCTAGAAGGGGTGATGAATAAGTAATTTATGATCCAAGTCTCCTCTTCTTGCAGTAAATGACACAAGTGCAGGTTAAAACGTGGTTTTTAGAAAATATTGCGAACTTTACAATTATTTTTGGCGCATTTCTTTTGTGAAAAAATATAAGATTCCTAGAATTAATTATCTTCAATTGAATATAAAACTCAAAATTAAACAATTTTTCATAATGTCACTTTTATTTCGTTTACCAAATTGTCACTTTTATGACGTTACCAATTTGTCAATACCAAATTGTCACTTTTGTGAGCTTACTAAATTGTCATTACCAAATTGTCGTTACCAAATTGTCGCCTTACCAAATTGTCATTACCAAATTGTGATTACCAAATTGTCATTACCAAATTGTCATTACCAAATTGTCATTACCAAATTGTCATCACCAAATTGACATTACCAAAAATCCGCCCATCGTCTCAGACTAGTCTTTTTACCAAATTGTCATTACCAAATTGTCATTACCAAATTGTCATTACCAAATTGTCATCACCAAATTGACATTACCAAAAATCCGCCCATCGTCTCAGACTAGTCTTTTTAGAACCAGCCTGTCTAGCGTGTCAGACTAGTCTTTACGGTACCAGCCTGTCTAGTGTGTCAGACTAGTCTTTACAGTACCTGCCCGTCTAGTGTATCAGAATAGTCTTTATATGGTACCAGCCCGTCTAGTGTGTCAGACTATTCTTTATACGGTACCAGCCAGTCAAGTGTGCCAGACTAGTCTTTACAGTACCAGCCTGTTTAGTGAGTCAGACTAGTTTTTATACGGAACCAGCCCGTCTAGTGTGTCAGACTATTCTTTATACGGTACCAGCCTGTCTAGTGTGTCAGACTAGTCTTTATACGGTACCAGCCCAAGTGTGTCAGACTAGTCTTTATACGGTACCAGCCAGTCTAGTGTGTCAGACTTGTCTTTACAGTACCAGCCTGTCTAGTGTTTCAGACTAGTCTTTATACGGTACCAGCCTGTCAAGTGTGTCAGACTAGTCTTTACAGTACCAGCCTGTCTAGTGTGTCAGACTAGTCTTTACAGTACCTGCCTGTCTAGTGTGTCATATTAATCTTTACAGTAACAGCCTGTCTAGCGTGTCAGACTAGTTTTTACAGTAACAGCCTGTCTAGTGTGTCAGACTAGTCTTTATACGGTACCAGCCTGTCTAGTGAGTCAGACTAGTCTTTACAGTTCCAGCCTGTCTAGTGTGTCAGACTAGTCTTTACAGTACCTGCCTGTCTAGTGTGTCAGACTAGTCTTTACAGTAACAGCCCGTCTAGTTTGTCAGACTAGTCTTTATAGGGTACCAGCCTGTCAAGTGTGTCAGACTAGTCTTTACAGTACCAGCTTGTCTAGTGTGTCATACTAGTCTTTATACAGTACCACCCTGTCTAGTGTGTAAGACTAGTCTTTATATGGTACCAGCCCAAGTGTGTCAGACTGTTCTTTATACGGTACCAGCCAGTCTAGTGTGTCAGACTAGTCTTTACAGT